ATTTAAAAAATAAAATATATTTTAAAACACTCACTGCATTTAAATGATGCAGTGAGTGTTTTAAAACTTTGGTTTCCCCAAAAGGATGTCTTAGTGTAGAAAACTAAATCAATATATTCCATTGCAGTTGTTAGATAAAATGCTATTCATTTATTATAATCTTGTTCTTTCTAGCCAATACAAGCTAGGCTGTGAAACTAACTTTGAGTACAAAAGTGTCTTGTGATATGATCCTGTCCATCTTAAAGTGAGGACAAAGTAACTATGAATTTGTGAATTTAACTATAGGAAAATACCTGGATTTTTCAGTAGAGTAACGTATCAAAAGGAATTATTAAATTTATACATAAATTATCATGTATATATGTGTGTGTACAACTTTTATACGTAAGGTGTTGCTAAAAGATACTGTTTTGGGACTTAAAATATAGAGCTTTTTATACTGCACCACATTATTTCTCGTAGTGGATATGAGCATGGAAAGTCACATTAAAGCTATTTTGTCAGAGAAAAGATGATGACAGATGTTATCCTTTTACTCTGGAGTCTTGATTATCATAGCAATTCTGGGGACTTTTTCTAACTTTTCCTAAGGCCTTACTATCCTTTATCCTAGTGCATAGCAATGTTGAATTGGACTTACCAGCATTTAAATTAGAATATTCAGTTTCCCTCCTAGCATTTCTGCCTGTATATTGTTACAAATGCTAACTTTTGTAATATTTACTTTATAAATAATCCTAGCTGTACTATTACTGGAATCTGTTTCAATTCAAATATAAATGAAATTACTAGTTTGCTGTAACAAATAATTCAAGTAGTATGACTGCTCTATCCTTAGACATCTTTATCCCAAGAACATTTTTATTTGGGTGCCTCTGTTGTGTATTTTAAGTGATGTGTGGAAAGTAACTTGGAAACACTTACTGAAACAGCAGATATTGCTAACATTTAGCAATCTGAAAATATCTAGACAATCCTGGAGGGTACTGGGGAAGAAAAAGTGAGTTTAGGATGACTTTTTCAAAGCATTAAGCAGAGATTTAACAGACAGAAATTAGTCTCTTGTTGACAAAAATGAGTCATTTTTTTAGGTAATGCCCTGCAGATGTTTCCCTTTCTAGACTGGCTGTTTGCAGAAGTTTGTTAAATTGAAACATTATTTCATGGAGATTTCAAAAGCTGATAGTATAAACTCTGTATAAATTAGAATATTCTGTTACCTTATCAGAGAAGTTTGGTCACTGGTCTCCAGCTGTACTGATTAAACTTGTACTTAATTATCTGTTAATATAGCTAGAAAAATGGCGTAGGCGGGTTTTCCTATGTTTACTTATATCCATGAAATAAGTAGATAGCAGTTTAGAGTTTCAGAATTTATTAACATCTAAAATAATGACATTTTGAAAGCTAGACAGTTTCTGTCACTGCAGACAGAGTTGTTTTGAGGGTAAGCACACATTTGGCCCACCTATATGGGTACAATAAAAGTATTCTCCTTATTTGTTTCCTTATTAAACTAAGATTAAAAGGATAGTTGTAACTAACAATGGAGGTATAATACAGTGTTGAAATTATTAAAAGATCTTTTAGCTGCTTGTGTAGGTTTAAAAGCTGTGTTGTACCATTGAATATGGCTTCATTGTGTTTATTTTTAAGTCTGTAATTTTGTACTTTTTCAGCTTCTCCAGCACCAACGAGAACGGGTCAAGCAGGGAGCCCTAAACCTTTCTCTCCTCAAGCATCAACGCCAATTTCTGTTAAACAAGACAGGACTTCCACTCCAGGAAGCATTCTGAATCTGAATCTTGGTGAGTCTTGACCTTTGAAAACCTAATACTGTTAAAGCTGAGTAAATCAGTGGTGTCAGTGCACCAGAATATGAACAAACATGCGTGTATGTGGCTTTAAATGAACAGAGGTCTTTAAGTGGGTAAAGGCCCAGGGGTAATTATTGTTTCATCAAATATGCTGTTCTTTTTTGTTTTATGAATGAGAGTTCCTGTTATTGTTTCTTCTTGTTGATAAAAGGAAGTAGTTAAAAGATGGTGGGTTTTTTTAGCTGAACTGTACAAATGAATGTTTCTAAACAGTAGGTAAGTTTCTAAAGGTTGTAATTACATGCACATTGCTGCTCTTCACCCCTCAGTCTCTCAAATGAATTGTTGGCAAGGTTTTCTCATGGTCTTTAGGATTTAGGATTTACTAGGGCTTCTTCTCTCTTGCTGCCTACACATCACCTTGTCACTGACCATCCCTCTCTAGGGAGGTAGATGAATGAAAGGAATTAGCACATGTCTTGAAACTCCCTAGAAGTAAATTTTGGGACTGTGAAATTCTAAAAGGTGGGTAGGTAAGTACTAAGTTAGTAAAATAGTTCTTAAATCCAAACGGATATAAATCAGTTTCCTGAGTCATGCTTTGTTCCTGTGAGTATTCTGATTCAGTTCTGGCTCCTTTTTACCTCCACATGATGCAACAGGATTCTGCCTCTTGGTGTTAGCCAAGAACTTCAGGAAGCTTGAACTCAAATGCTGAATTCATGTTTTCAGTGAGTTGCAGATATTCTGATTCTCCAAACAAGCTCACAAGTACATTTTTCAGTGTATTAATCTAGCTGTGTGAACGTAACCATTGAATTAATTTATTTTGCTGCAAGTGAGCTGACAAGGCATTTGTAAAATTAAGAAATACGTAGTGCTGCAGTTGTTTGAGCCATGGATGGGAGACATGAGCTGGAGCAGAGAGTATTTTGAATGAATAGTGTCAGCACTTTCGACAAAGTAAAGGATAGGGCTATGCTACAGAAATATTACCTCTGAAATTTAAAAACTGAAGCAAAAATGTGAAACTCAGTTGGTAAGACAGTTCTAGCGTTAGCACTGTAGTCTACTTTGGGCAGGCAGAACTGTCTGTTTCAGAATGAAAATTCTCTAGGAGTTAGAGGAAATAGGAGAACTCAAGATTTTGCTGACATGTGTTGAAAAATTATTTTATCTTATTTATCTACTGTAACAATCCACATATTTATTTCTATTCTCATGGCTTACCATTTGAAGTTTAAGTGCTGATTATAAGGATTTTTATTCCTATTTATTTTCTCTGTGAAAATATGACTACTAGTAGAAAATGACAGCAGTAGCTTACTAGAAGTGCTGTTAGTCAGCTTACAGACCTGAGCAATGATTTCTTGATAGTTTCATGTATTCCACATAATTGATGCATGCATTTTACATGTGGTAGCAGAGACGACGTATCCGTTGTTTGTAGTAAAGTAATTTTAGAATTACTATTTCTCCCATAATACTACAAGTCAAATGGGTTTCAGATTATCTGCATTGTTGCTCAGTAAAATTTGTCTTCTCTGGATAGTGATCTCTCTTCCTTTTGTAAAATATTTTTGTAAGTTCCTTTTTGTTTTTCTAGATCGTAGCAAAGCTGAGATGGACCTGAAAGAATTGAGTGAGTCGGTGCAACAGCAGACCACTCCTGTGCAACTCATCTCACCAAAACGACAGATCCGCAGTAGGTTCCAGCTTAATCTTGACAAGACAATAGAGAGTTGTAAAGCGCAGCTTGGTAAGTACAGCTCAAGAATTGAGTGGACATCTGAAGGACGCACATGAGGAAATGTCGAATTGGAGTTTAAAAGAAGTTTTAGAGTAGTAATACGTTAAATATTTTACACATATGGTAACAGAGCCTGGTTCAGTGCTCTGTCACCTTCACAGTAAAACAGATTTTCCTCATGTTCACGTGGAACCCTCCTATGCTCCGGCTTGCTCCCATTCCCCTTGTCCTGTCATTGGACATCAGAGAGAAGAGCCTGGCTCCTTCCTCCTGACACTCGCCCTTTACAAATTGATCCCCATGAATGAGGTCACCCCTCAGTCTCCTCTTCTCCAAGCTAAAGAGACCCAGCTCCCTCAGCCGCTCCTCATAAGGAAGACGCTCCGCTCCCTCAATCATCTTTGTGGCTCTGCTGGACTATTTCAAGCAGTTCCCTGTCCTTCTTGAACTGAGGGGCCCAGAACTGAACACAATATTCCAGATGTGGTCTCACCAGGGCAGAGTAGAGGGGAAGGAGAACCTCTCTCGACCTACAAGCACACCCCTTCTGATACACCCCAGGATGCCATTGGCCTTCTTGGCCGCAAGGGCACATTGCTGGCTCATGGTCATCCTGCTGTCCACCAGGACCCCTAGGTACTTTTCTGCCTGGCAGCTCCAGCCGCTCGTCCCCAAGCCTGTAGCGCTGCATGGGGTTATTGCGACCAAAGTGCAGGACCCAGCACTTGGCCTTGTTGAAGCTCATACAGTTGGCCTCAGCCCATTGATTCAGCCTATCCAGGTCCCTCTGCAGAGCCTTCCTACCCTCAGGCAGATCAACACTCCCTCCCAACTTAGTGTCATCCGCAGACTTGCTGAGGGAGCACTCAATTCCCTCATCCAGATCACTGATCAAGAAAATGGTGAAAATTAGTATATCCATTCAAACAGGAGCTGAATGCTCTTAAACATTAGTGTTGTTTAGTACTTAATTAAAGACTTTCTAGGCACTAAAAAAATTGGAGATTCTCCTCGTAGAACTTAGCAGTCAAAAATTGATTCTGCAAACATGTGTCAGTAACTTTATACAGCTGAATAGTGTTACTAATTTTAAGGTGGTTTCTTGTCAATAAAAATAATTCCTCTTTGTATTTGCCAGCATTGGTCCTAAGTTGATCAAAATAGCTTGCAGGTAGTAGAAAAAAGCAGTGAAGAGAGGGCCATTGAATTAAATAAAAATATTAATTGGAATATGTGGAACGTAATTCTCTGCACGTTGTAGTGTTGATATAGGGCACTAAGGCAAGTGTTTATAGCTTAAGGACTGACACATGCCTTAATGGTATGTATACATTTTATTCCAGTATATAGAGTATTTTTTTGGTAATGTCAGTCGGTCTGATGTCAGCATGGAATGTACTTTCCTCCCCACAATTAGGAATAAATGAAATATCTGAAGCTGTTTATACTGCAGTAGAACACAGTGACTCTGAAGATTCTGAAAAATCTGACACCAGTGACAGTGAATATAGTGATGAGGATCAGAAATCAAAGAACGATCAAGAAGATGGAGAGGACAAGGAAGGTACAAGAAGTGACAAAGAATCATTGAGCTTGAAAAAAAAACCTAAGCCCCCAGCACAGAATGAAGACAAGGACGAACTTAAAAGCACAAGTCCAGAAGTGGAGAAAACAGATGACCAAGTCAAAGAAAAGGCAATTTCAGACACTGAAAAAGAATTTTCTGAAAAGGGAAAAAGTTTACAGCACCCAGCAAAAGAAAAACTGAAAGGTAAAGATGAAACCGACTCTCCAACGGTGCATCTGGGACTGGACTCTGATTCCGAGAGTGAACTTGTCATCGACCTTGGAGATGAGCATTGTGGCCGTGAAGGGAGGAAAAACAAGAAAGAATCTAAAGAGCCTCCTCCTAAACAAGATGGTACGATGGAATTCTTTCCTTTTTTCCTTCTGTTACTTTAGGCTAGATTGAAAAATATTTTATTCTTCATATAACTTTCTCTTGTCTATATTTTACAGCATGTTGGCTCAATAATTTTATTTTAATGTTTTCAGTCAATTAACTAAGGATACTTGAGATGACAACTTAAAACTTTTGAATTTTAAAATGGAATTTAATGGATAAATGTTATTACGGGATAATCAAGAAAACAGGCTTCTAAACTAAAGACAGAATTATCATTTTCAGGAGTTTATATTGATTGACTCTTGTTTCATTTAAAAATTTATTGAGCGAGGCAGCTTCATGAATTTCAAAACCATTGATTCATGTATTACTAGTGGCCTAAACCAGTGATGGTTGAAATAGTAAGTAATTCTAAAATTTTATTTTGATATAGAGGCAAAAGAATAATATGTATTCTGAGTGAAATTAGAAGTTGATTTAAATACCCATATATAGAGACACCCATGTGAATATATTCTAGACATAAATTGTGTCCCGTCCATGATTCCATGACCCCTACTTTTTCACATATTAAAATGCCTTGGTCCAGAAAGGAGATGTGATACATGCAGATCTGCAGGTCTTTGCCCCCTTTCCAGACACTTGTCAGTACAGCAGCCCTCTCTTTCAGACGTCTTTTTTTTTTTTTCCCTGGCCACGCTTTTGGAAGAATCATCCAGCTTGTAAACTGATCTGATATGTGCAAGTCAGCTATAAACTCCAGAAGATTTTAGAGTAAATATATATATATCTTAAATACACTGTATATTGGGTCATCAGTACCAGTTCACTTTTGTTTAGAAAATTTTTAGTATAGTATTCCTTCAGTTATTGTTCTCTTTGAATGTATTTTTCTCCTGAAGGAAACTGGGATGACAGGTGACCCAGAAACACCCTAACACAGGCTGAACTCTCATGTAGTATCATAGAATCATAGAATGATTTGGGTTGAAAGGGACCTCAAAGCTCATCCAGTCCAACCCCTGCCATGGGCAGGGACACCTCCCACTAGACCAGGTTGCTCAAAGTCCTGTCCAACCTGGCCTTGAAAACTTCTGAAGGAGGTCAGGGCTGTTTTCTGGGTTTTGTACTTTTTCTTTTGTTTTGTTTAATGGCTAGCGCTTCTGAATTGCCACCAACTTTATCTAGACTGAAATTGAGTTCATTTGTAGAATATCAATTACCTTTTGAGGAAAAATAATTCAAAGTAGACCAGAAGGTGCATACTGCTCTTCCAAAAATTAGATTAAGGTTATGAATCAGATGTGTTGGTTAAAGCTGTCATTACATTTTGTTTGTTTAGTTGTAGGAAAAACTCCACCTTCCTCCAGTGCAAGCACCCAACCTCTCCCAGAGACTCCAGTACTGACCCGCTCTGCAGCCCAGACTCCCCCAGCTGGGGTGACAGCAACTACCAGCGCTGCTTCTACTGTCAGTGCTCCCTCTGCAGCCACTGGCAGCCCTGTGAAAAAGCAGAGGCCTCTGCTGCCAAAAGAAAGCGCTCCCGCTGTGCAGCGTGTAGTGTGGAATTCTTCAAATAAATTTCAGACATCATCTCAGAAATGGCACATGCAGAAGGTTCAGAGACAGCAACAGCAGCAGAGCCAGCAGTCTCAGTCCCAGCAAGCTCAGTCCTCTCAAGGGACAAGATATCAGACCAGACAAGCAGTTAAAGGTATACACTTTCTCACTCAATGTGCCTGTGATGCCATAATTCCCCAGTAGTGATCTCAGTGCTCCAAGGCTGCTTAACCAGGAGTTCTTCCATATAAACAAAATTTCAAAGTGTCATTCTGCTCTGATAAGTGACTTTAAAATACAACAACTTACTCACCATACCTGCTCTCTCTGGTGTGTATTTAGAGTCATGTCTCCTTATTTTAATGATAAAAAGTTTGTGTGTGTGTGTCTGTATAAATATTTTTGCCATTCTTAGCCATCACAGATTTGGGAGAGTGAACGGAATTATTTTCTGGATTATATGATGAAACCATTAACTCTGTTCCACTTCCACGATTACCACTATCACCTCAGTATCTACAAACTGGATCCAGTTTTTTCTGACAAGAAGCTGATCTGTACGTTTTTCCATAGAGTATAATTTGACAACAGTGACATTACTCAGGCTGCATTTGTCTTTGAAATCCCTCTTGCTTAACTCTTACCAAGACTTTGATGCTAGTTTAGTGAGCCATGGCATTTTAAAACTTTAAATGTTCAGCCTATGAGTTTGTTTACTACTGAGCACATCATAGCTGTGTTCCATATTAAATACTACATGCTGCAAATATATAAAATGAAAGCTATAAAATGGACATTTCTTATATACTGAATTGCCATAAATAAAACAATATAGTACATACAGATAACTGAATAACTTTTATTTCAGTAATTTGTGTTTTGAGGATATGGGCAACAAAGAGATTTTTATGAGTAATTAAAAATTGAAAAGTATTGTCCTTAAAAAAAATATTATTTAAAAAAAAATATTTAAGGCTGATATGTCATTAGGGATGAAAAGGTGAGGGTCTTCGCATTTTTATTTGTAGTCTCATTTTTTAATTACCCATTGCTTAAGATTATTGACCAAATATGAGAAAACTGTTCTTATCTTGTTTGAGTTAACACTACGAATAATTTCATTGCTTTAATGAGTTAATCTAAGGTTGGATTCCTTGCTCTGAAGCCAATCAAAGGCTAATGCTGATCTGGATGTATGTATCTTAAACATGTCACATGACTAGTCATAATTAGTACCATTAATAAGAAAAGAATGGGAATAACTAAAGTATTACTAAAGTTGACTTTCTTCAACTGTAGCTCACTGAACCTTGTTTCAAAGCAAAAATAAAAGAAATTCAATAATATGTTTCAAAATTAAGGCAAATGAAAATGCCAAAGTGTAACTTACGCTCATATGTATGGTATTAGTTGGGAGGTCTCCACATTGAAAGGTTAGGAAGTGAATTCTTAAGAAATGGGATGGCAAAGTCCCAGACTGGGAGGAACACAGATCTGAGGGAGACTTTTGCATTGTCCAGTATGAAGTGGTAAGCTTCAAAGATGTATTTGCCTCATTACCTTTAAGCGTTACAATCAGGTACAAGCTCAGTGGCTGGATGCTGTATAATTAATTGATTAAATGTATAAATGATGTAAGTCTTGGAAATAGGTGCACATATTTAAGTTAGACATAGTTAAGTGCCTGTTCATTTTCGTAATGGTTTATGTGATTTATCTGCTGTATGTTCTCTTTTCTTAGCTGTGCAGCAAAAAGAGATCACCCAGAGCACTTCCACATCAACCATAACCTTGGTTACAAGTACTCAGCCTATTTCTATGGTTACCAGTTCTGGATCTGCAAGTACGCTTTCTTCCTCAGTTAATACAGACTTACCAATTGCAACAGCGTCAGCTGATGTGGCTGCAGATATTGCTAAATATACTAGCAAAGTAAGTTATTGAGCAAGGTTATCTTGAAATCTTATTTTGAAAGTGACGTTTCAGATTTTTGACATTTCACATTCGGAAATAACTCTTTTTCCAGGTTGTTGTATGTTGCATATTCATTCCGCTAGGTAGAAGCGGGTATATTTTGACAAGAGCACTGAACCATCATTTTAGAGCCAGCTCAATGCTGCCATTCCAAGCCAGAGTGTGTGGGTGATAGGATTCCACTGCTCAGGCAATTTAGACCCTTTCCTTCTCATGTTCCCCCATTGCCTTTTCTTATTTATGTTGTGTTGTGTTTTGGATAATTTTCTTTGTTTTCTTCTAACTGTGTAGATATCCCCTCAGCAGCGTATTTACAATAAAGATTAAGATTTCTTTGTCTGTGTCCAGTAATACATATACAAAAATGTACTTCTGTCTTAAAACACTGTATAGCTTTATCAGATGGTAACTTGTTGTAAGTGTATATTCTAAGCTAAGTTACTAAAGAGAAGACGTGCTGTAATACTTGTATGATAACAGTGAGGGATGGGACATTAGCTTTTCATATTCTCTCTTTACATTAAAAAATCAAGGTGAATACTACATAAGGAAATAAAGTTGAGTACCCAGGCACTAAAAGCATCAGAATTAACCTTGACTGTCAACTTTCAATGTTTTCACTCAACTGAATGGTCTTGGTGGGATTGTCAGTGGTCAGCAATGCCAGAAAACGTCCTTTTTTCTTCTTTTTTTTTCTTCACACTGAGTTTCTTCCCCGAAGTCATACTTATATTTTTTGTTTGTAAAGTGTATCAATGGAAATTTGATGGAAAAGTAGAAGGTCAAGTAGTTCACCAGTTTAGGACACTTAAAAATCAGTCCTGATCCAAAGTGTTCTACCTTCTAAATAGTCCTCTAACAGTAGGCCCAGATAAATAAATTGAGAGAAATACAGACCGTTGTTAATAGTAACATAAGTTTACATTAGAGTGGTTGAAAGGAAACTAAAGTGGGTATCTATTAAAAATATGCATCAAAGATTTTGATTTTCATTTTGTTTTTCAGATGATGGATGCCATCAAAGGAACAATGACTGAAATATATAATGATCTCTCCAAAAATACTACTGGAAGTACAATAGCTGAGGTTAGTGTAAAATTAAGAGTAATAAAAAAGTACTGCTTGCACTTTAACTTTGAAAGTTGCAAAATAGTACTTTTACAAGTACCATGTAACTATACCTGCAAAGTATTATCGAGACTGTTTAGAGATCCTAATTTCTGTCCTGTTTTAGAAGTAATGATTAGAGCGGTAGAGAAAAGCACAGAAAAGGTATCAGATGGGCTCTGTAAGATAATTAGGAGGAACAGTAAGCCATCAAGCCCAGATGCTTAAAGCTTCTGGTGAGCATTTAATTTTGTGTTGCCTTGTTTAAAATCAGAAATTACATAGTTTTTTTTTGTCAGTATCCTTTTTTAAAAGCATGTATTTGTCCACCAGAGAAGATTTGAATTTACTTATAGCACAATGGCTTACTTCACTTACATGATTATGACGATAGTTTTTAATACCCTTTAAAAACACTTTAATACTTCTTCCATTTTTAATGAAATGCTACACATTGCTTTTAATTGTCTGCAAAGGCAGTACTTGGTATCTTTTAAGTATTTTCTTTAAACTCAGAAAAAGGAGATTAAGCAGTGTAAATGTGATGGTTTGTCTGCTTTTTTAATCAAAATAAGGAAGTTGCAGTTTTGAGAAACAATATTTGTATTCCTAACCCACAGTGAACGAAGAACTTGCTTTCCTAAGCCTCATCTAGTTTAAAAAAAATATTAAAATGTCATACTAATAAATGCAAAGAAAACTGAAGAAAAGGGTTTTTATTTCAGTCAGAGAAATTTGAGACTTGACTGATTTCAGAGGAAGCAAGAGCAAGTTTAATAGAAGTGCTTTTTGTTTTCAAACAGTTCTGTACTTTATATGGTAAGCAAATCTAGCAAAAATATTTAGAATACTTCAGACTTGGTTTGGGGTTTGCGATGGTCTTGTCCTCATGTTAATATGAAGCAGCCTTGATGTAAGGGATGATCAGACTCTGCTTTGGGCATGTTATTCTGTATAAGAATTATGTATTATACACTGCACCCTGTTTACTTTTACTAACTATTAAAAATCTAATATTTAGATTCGTCGTTTGAGGATTGAGATAGAAAAACTTCAATGGTTACATCAGCAAGAACTCTCAGAAATGAAGCATAATCTAGGTATGAAAACGCAGTCCAAAGCAGTGTGTCAGCTTTTGTCCTAAACAGAAAATCCAAATGCCTGTAGTATGTATTACCTTTATCATACAATACTACAGATTGTCCAAGCCAAGGACAGAAAAAGTTGCATCATGTGCCGTGCTGATGTCAGTGGACACCTTTTGAGTATGTGCACTAAATTATTTTATCTGTGCATATTAAACAACAGGTGTGCAGCGCCTGGAGACAAATTTAGGCTAAAAAGAGCTCTTGATAGGACAGAATAACTTCATTTTATGCATCATTGGATAACCCCTCTTTGTGAGATATTTTATGCTCATTACTTTGTACTAATTCTTATAGGAACAAGGTACTGTAGCCACTGGGGAACCCGCTTCCTCTGACATCTTTGGAGATTGCAGCTGACACTTTGGTTCAGATCAGCTGTTGGTGTATACACATACTTATTTATAAATTTAAAGTGAATTTACAGCCTTGACTCAATCTTGGTGCCATACTGTCAGTGAAATAAAGTCAAAATACTGCCTTAAATAGATAAAAGAATATTCCTTCTCGAAGGGAGATTTTAATCTCTGCATTCATTAAACCACATGGGCAGAAAATAGAACCATGATAAAAATGCAATTCTTCTGAAATTCTTTTTTGATGCACTGGCTGCGAGCACAAGGTTACAGTTAAGTGATCAAGGCTTCTTCAAGCTCCATGCAGTCCAAGCAGCCTTAGGACTGTGTAACACCGTGTCCTATTCCTCACTCTTTGCAGAGCACATCTGGAATAGAAGTGAAGTAAGGGCTGAGTAACTCCAGAGTAATGTCTTTGGTCTGTTAGTAGTATTTTGTTATTTCAAATCAGGGCAGACCAGTCAGAGCAATTGTGAAGCAAGGCTCAAATTTACAGCTTTATTCACATAGTGATGAGTTTTTACAGTTTTGTCATTGTTCATCCTGGAACTCTCACATTTTTCTTTGTAAAGAAGCCAAGAACAATTGATTCACTCTTTCCTCATAAATAAGTAACTGTGAACTATAATTCCATTTTCTGAATATTGGAGCAGAAGTTTGGGCTTATAAAGACAAAGTATGTTAGCAGCAGCTGTGTACATACCTTTTGTGTTCGTGCTGCATTTAGTACACCTGGATTCTGTTCCTCTGTGGGACATCTAGAACTAAAGTGTTAAATGGAAGGTAATGGTTAAGGGTAAAAATCATGGTGCCAGTATAAGAAAAGATGATGGAAGACTTCATTTGAGTAGCAGTGAAACAGAGATGCCATAACTCAGGGAATATTTTTTAATTCTTAGTTTTAATTCCACATTGTCTTTAAACTCCTGAAAATTATTGGTTTGCACCTTGCTGTTGGAGGGCAGAAAAGGCAAAACTCGTCTCCCTTTGCATTTTGAGTAGAGCTGACAATGGCTGAAATGCGTCAGAGTCTCGAGCAAGAGCGAGATCGTTTGATTGCAGAGGTGAAGAAGCAGCTGGAATTAGAAAAGCAGCAAGCAGTGGATGAAACTAAAAAGAAGCAGTGGTGTGCTAACTGCAAGAAAGAGGCCATTTTTTACTGCTGTTGGAACACCAGCTACTGCGACTATCCCTGCCAACAAGCTCACTGGCCTGAGCATATGAAATCTTGCACACAGTCAGGTAATCTTGCTCTGGGTTGCCTGGTTCACAGCTCTGAGGGGGTCAGACTGGGGGGAATATTTTTTTATTTGCATGGGTGCAGATGTGCCTGTGCAGAGTGACTGTGGACTGGTAACCATGAGTAGCGGCTACTTTATTTTTCCTTTATTTTAGCTACTGCAACGCAGCAAGAAACAGATACTGAAATTAGCACAGAAACATTAAATAAATCATCCCAGCCCAGTTCAAGTGTGCAGCCTACACCCACAGAAACAACCAGCACCCCTAAGGAAAAAGAAGGTTCAACTGATAAAAGCAAAGAGAACGTTACAGTGAGTATCATTGTGGCCACTTCAGACAAAAATAGTATATAAGATTTCTCAGAAACGTACCCCCTAAAAGCTTCCCTGGATCAGCCAGGAATTTCTGACCATTTGCGTATTTCAGAGTGTGTGATCTGGGGAGTGAGACAGGGAGCTGTGGTTTGGTTTTTTTTCTTCATCTTATATAAAAAAAAAATCTCCTTCTGTCCTTTGGGAACACCCTTTCCCCTTCACTCATTCCCAGTAAAACCTTGTGTTGGCTTGACTCATCCTTCCAGCCAAAGGGGACTGGACCTCTTTCTCTCTCTCTCTCCAGGACCCATCAGTGTAGCTTCTGGTCTGGATCTTTCGATACAAGTTGCCTTCTGATAAGCAATACTGACTGCAGCACTTCCAAGCCCTTCTTGCCTGGGGGTTCAGAGGCCAAGCTCAAGACCTGCATTCAAATCAACTTATTTATCACAACAGACTGCCACTAGGGTACCACAATGTTCCATAACACTGAGACAGCAGCTCACCTGGATCTACAGTTAACGGAGCAGTGTGCAGTTACGAAATCCTTCATAGCATCTACTCTGATAGTATTCAGTAGGCAAGGATGAGCAAATGCTCTAATAAAAGGGACTTTATATTGCGTATATAGAAAATGTTTATAGAGAAGATTCTGCTTTATAGGTAGGGCTTAACTATTAGCAATTTCAGCATCATTTTTCTTCTGCCCTTGCAAGATTTATTAAATGAAAAATTTGGGGGAGGGGGGGGCGCTGATCCTTCAAACCCTTACACATGATCCCCCACCATCAGTAGGAGCCTTGTTGTATTTTAAAATATTAAAAGCAGACTAATTTTGTAGTATTGTGATTCCAGCATGATGTCTCATTGAGATAGTCCTGTAGAATTGGGAAGCATAGTAAACTAGAGAGCTGTTGTTTCTTGACACTTCTGCTACTGTCTGGTGTTAGATCTCTGGGCTTGGTGTGTCATCTAAGGGAGTAACCTGGGAATCAGATTGGAAGAGGGAAAAAGGATATGCTGTTCCACCTGAATGCTTTGGTGAAGTTACTTGAACTCTAGCGTAATCCATGTTTGTATGCATTGTTTGTGGCAGCACAGCCTTTATATTACTGGGGAAATAGGGGATGGGAGAAAATCAGTTACCTAAAACTTTGGCCAGGGAATATTCCAGTTGTACAAATCTGGAATTTCTTTCACGTAGATGTTCTACCTGAAACATCATGCTGTATACATTGATCATGTTCATAATTTGAATTTTGTTTTATTAACAAAGAAGTAACCTGTGAATTCATTAAGATGCAAATTTTTAACACAAACAAAACATCCAACATAAATTTCATATAATAACAACAACTAGGTGGAATTTCTGTAAAAGCCGAGACTTCTACTGAGGTTGCCTGTGCTGTCTCTGCAGATAGCAACAGGTGTGACAAGCAACCAGCCTATAAAACTGGTCCAGGTACCGCAGACCACCACCTATATTCCAACTACTCAGCCCTCAATTGTAAGTACAATATCATCATTTAAAGTCTGCAGTAGTACTGTTCCTGGCATTAAAACGCTCAGTATTTCTGGGGGGTTGTCTCTGTCTACTGTTGTATCAAGATATGAATTCACTGGTGTAGTCTCAACTTGCAGTGCAAAATGTCTTATTTTGCTGTGCAACATTCCACCCTTTCATTGCTTCATTCAGCATGACAAAGATTCAGAAATTGTCATTAAGTACAGTGAAGGCACAGTCAGACTGCCATTTTACATTATTATCTTAGTTATTTGTCCAATTCATGTATATACTTGACCACAACATCAGTGTAAATATACAGAATTAATTTAAAATATCTTTTTGTCTATGGTATCCTAGAGAGAATTAATTAATTCTGAGCTGTGTTTGATATTCTTGTGACATCTCAGTAACTATGAAAGAAAATATGCACTCATCAGTAGTGTATCTGCCATGCAGTCTTGCACATTAGTGTTATGAAATTATGAGAAATAGCATTGGAATCAGACCTGGGTTTTTCCATCAAAGAGTTAAAGGACACTGGAATTCCCTAGTGTCAGTAACGGGAGATGGGACAGAAGTGAGTTCGATTTTTGTATTTTATGCACCATAATATCCCTTTCTTTCAACTGGTCATGTTCTGCAGTGCTCGCTCGAGAGTCAATGTGGCATCTGAGCTAATGATGTTCTTATGAAAAGCAAATGTGCTGATCATGCACTGGTGACGGAGCAGCACGCTCTGCCACAGTGGTGGGGTCAGCAGACGGGCCCATGTGTGGGTAACTTCAGTTAATTTTCTGACTGAAGTTAGAAAACTTAGAATAGTAACTATGTACTAACTTCTCAGTGTACGTTAATCACACTGTGACTGTGAGGCCTGGTTTGCTGTAGAAGTGACTCTGTCCCTCTCCTTGTGCGCACACGTCCACGTGTGCGTCTGCACTACCACCCGCCCTCCCCAGCTGCAGGATGCATGCATCCGTCTGTGTGCATCTGTGAACACCCACATGTACATACAAGACTTCATAGCCATTATATTCCACACAAATGTTACTGCTCGCAGTGGGGATCATGACTTTTCACATTCCTAGCAGCGTTTGAACTCATTTTGGCTCAACTGAGAGCACTCTGCACCTTTGCAGCATTGGCCCTAAGTTGCTTGGACTGAATTACCATAACAGTGAGGTTTTATGTGTTTTAAAATCAAATAGCAAACATAAGACATTAGGCCCTTCTGTGAATAGCTGAGAGGTTGTAAGATCGTAAGTTGGTTTTGTGTAATATTCAGAAAAATGGCAGTTACCTTCATCGGTTTTCTGTAATATGAAGTGTATTGAGTTATGTGAAGCATAATTGGAAGGTCTGAAAGGTTTCAACATTTATTTGTGCATGTTTAAAACTGTACACATTTGCATTAGCCTTGCACAGCTACAGACACCTCTGTATTCTAATGACTGCACGTGCAATTTAAGTAATTTTAAACCTTAGTGCATGTTTAATATGTATGCAAAATGTACATATGTGTAAAACTGGCAGAGGTGGAAAGTTTACCTCTCAGGGAATGATCTTAACACATGTAAGGAGTCTTGCACATTCCATATCCCGATCGCTCTAAGAACTGAAACTTCATTTTCTCATTTGTGGAAGTGTGTATATTTAAAGGTGACTGTGGCAACCTTAATTTCCCCACCTGTAGTACTAACAGTGACTTACATGTGACTCTTTAGGGTTCAATTTGCACTTTGTTTCCAACTGGGAATTCCTTCCTCGGAACAACTTCCAGTGTAACTTCTGGGTCCCGTTTCCATTGAACCCTCTATATGCATCTGAAATTATTACAAAATGGTAGTAGCCTTGAATTTATTTAGCAAATTGGTTCCACGTTTGGTTTTGAATTCTCTCTCCAGTTAAAATAATGTAAAAAAAAATTGAATTCATCGCCTTTGCATTCCAAGGAAAGGCATGAGTGAATGTGTGGGCTTCTGGAAGGCACAGACTTTGTCACAGAGGAGCTGGTAAACACTCTGGGCCATAATCGATCGCAGTAGGGACACTCGCAGCCTTTGCTGAATACCATTAAGACACTACTGTGGTTTCTTAAAACAGTGTGGGGAAACACTGGGCTTCAGTGAAGTTGTATTTCTTCTTCCATGTTCTCTTGGAGTGTCGCGCTGCCATCAGGAGGAAGATCTGTGCATCCCTTTCAGATCCCTCAAAATCTCCCTTCCTGTTTCTTCCACAAAATGTTGTGAACTGAAACGGATGCATTTGTTTGATCACCAGTTGCGCATCACTGGAATTGTATCAAAGCGTACTCGCAGTTTGTATGGTATAGGCATTTCTAGACTTTCTCACATTTTTGGGGGAAGGTTAAGATACAGACTAAAGACTCAATAAATCCTTTTCCAGATCTTCCAGAGTGATGTGACCTTGACCAGATTGTTTAACATTCTTGTGCCTTTGTCTCTGCATCTGCAGAATCAGTTACCACCTAGAGAGATGTCCGGAAACTTCATTTGTCAAGATTTAGAAATCATGATCTGTATGATGGAAGTGAAAAGTTTATTCTATATTAATATTTTTACAGGGTGTATAAGACAGTTCCCAGTAATGCTGATGTTTTTGTTATTGATTTGTGCAAAAGTTAACTTAAGTACTTTTTTTTTCCAATGGATGTTCTTTATTCTCTTCTGTGTAGAGTGAATGCATGGGGGACTTCCTTTTGGGGAAAAAGATTTAAGAATGTGTAACAGGAATTATACTTAAAAACAAGGGTATTTTTGTACTCTGGTTTGATTTGTCAAAACTTTTTCAAATGATAAAGGATTTTCTTAGCCCTTTTTCCTCTTCCCATGTATTAGTTTGGGGAAAATACATAACTGGATGTAGTAACTATGAAAACCTAATTCTGCAAGCACAGACAGAGTGTGCACAGTATCTACAGGACCACTTGTCCCTGTAATTGTATTGCAGTAATAACAATAATACAGAAAAACTCTTGGCTATAGGAAAGTAATACACTACTTTCTACTCTGGATGAGGTAATAGTGTGGTAATAAAGGTATTAATTCTTGCACAAAATTGGAACTTGTTCTGGATTTTCCCTGGAAAATAAATCTCTATTTCTGTGGTCATGTTTCTGTGACCTTTAAGATAACGATATGTTTCTCTTGGTTTTAATCCACAGACCATTCCTGTAGTGGTAAGTCCTTCTGCTGGGACAGTGGCAATGCGAACTGGAGTTCAGTATGTTCAGACCACAATGCCAGTCCAAGTACGAAGAGTCTAACTGCTAACAAGAAGTCCATACAATTGGTGGAATAAAAAAATCTAATAGAAATGTGAAAAATAAACACAGTTCTTTGGATTAACCTCAAAGTTTCAGACTTAAGCTTTGTATATGTGTACAAAGCATTAACTACACTACATTAATGTAAAGCATTAGCGCTGGCTTAGAAAGCTAAGGACAGGTAAGATCCATATTAAATCTACGCTTCTTTTGTAAATAATGTACAATTTGTGGATGTCATTAGAGTACCATCTCCTTTTTATATTTGTATTGACTTTAACTTATAAAGAGTGTTTGAAGTTGGAAAAGGAAGGTTTAAAACAGCCTTACTGCAAGCTAACACTGAAGACTGGTCTTGGGAAATTGCAGTTACTCATCAAATAATAAAATCATGAGAATCTCAACAACTCAGTTTGCATTTGGATTGAAAAAAATTTCTGCACTTTGAAACTCTTGTAGAATTTCTTTGAGCAACCAAACGATGAAGGGTATCTTTTTCACTTAATTGTATTAGGCAAATTATGACATTTCCAACCTGTGGACCTGAAATACATCAAGATTTACGTTGTTTTTTACAATGACTGGACTGTTAAATTCTGTATTGTTTACAGGTTAAAATTAAGTTGAAATTTCATTCAGTGTAATATCAGAAAAGGTGGAAAGTTTAGTACCAGCTGGTTGTACTATGATTTCTGATCACTGATAGCAAAGATTGACAAAAGTCAAGTTCATTCCTGTGCTTCACAGTTGAGTTTTCCTTTTAAAAAAAAAATCCTCCAAAAAGGACTTTGAAAAGCTTTTTGAACAGAACAAGAAGCAGGTGTGGAAAAACCATGGATCGGGGAACATGGGCAAAGGACTTTTGATGCTGGGCCAGAGCATGTCTTATTTATATGATGGAATTTATGTTTTTATGTAAGCATGAAGCAGTACAGTATGAGAGAAAGTAACCCATGAAAATGCTGTCTGTTACACTTATACTGTAGTACCATTTGTATGTTGTGTAAAACAAAAGCATTGAACAAAGCAAAGGTGATGTGTGTATATGAGAAAACTAATTGTATGATATCATTCCAGTACATTCTGTTGTACATTTTAGTCATGTTGATTTCTCCCATTGTTTATAAAAGGATGCGGTTTGTACAGTCTCCAGCTAGTACCCACGTTAGAGGGAAAAAAGTATTAGAAGAAAAAAGCGAGAACAGAATATTCGTGAATTGCAGTTGTGTCAAAAATAGCCTAGCTGGCCTTACTTGTGAAGCATAATTGCTTTTAGCATATGGAAGTATTTTTTCACATTTTCTTTGTATAAAATTTGTATTAAACTTAAATATCTTTTTGACAATTGTGTTTCTTTGTGACTGAGACAGGTGACACACACGATATGCTTTGGGTTTCTCCAATTTTTCAAGAAACGTCACAATTTTTTAATTAAACTGTTTTAGAAAAATGTTCTGTGTTCCTGGATTTCCAGTTTTGTTTCAGTCTGGATGACTTCATTTCTGCAGTCTACAGATCATAGGTAATTTCCCTTATGTTGGGATCTTCTGGCTCAGAAGTGTGGGACCTTGAATCCAAGCCTGGCGAATAGGAGAAAAACAAAGCAGCAACAGCAGTCTGCAAATAAGCAGCTGTTGATGTATAAAGCTCAGTAGCGCCCATTTTCTCTCAGTTTTAAAAGCGGCAAAGGCCCATCACTGCTGTGTAACATCTATTCATTGTCTGGATTGGGGTAGGAGCGATATGCATAGTCTTGTTTGGTGTGTTTATGGGTTAGAATTGGGATCTGAGGATGAGTACACTTGCAGCCCTCTAAGAGGGCATTAATTGGGCGAGACTGTGGTGTGTGTCTCAATTAGCTGTGAGAAGAAACAAGGAGCTGATGAGCTAGCTCACTGCAAGATGAATATTGCTTAAAGTCCCTACTGCTGTAGTTACCTTGTTTTGTGCATTTGTAAAGCAACTCTAGTTAATGTTCCCAGTGCTACTGTTAATAGAAAAGCACAATCTTGAAAGCTTGAAATGATGTTTTGGCCTTTCTCATGTAGTTTGAAAGCTGGTGTCACTGAAACAAGCTCTTGTGTTAGGAGGAAAAGGATAAATAAGTCAAAAATTGTTCTTGGAAACCCCACTGCTTTCTGAAGCCTGTTTCAACCCATGGTTTATATAAAATAACAACTCCCAACAGGAGTTATCAGGTCAAGATCTTGGATGTTCCCGTGACTGTTCCCCCCCCCCATTTTATCTAGTTAAACTATGACGTTCGCTGTTCTTCTGAAGATTATTTTGCATTTATTAAAGTGATGGAAGAACACATCTTTGGCTTGGACATTATAGGAGGAGATGACACTGTTGTGATCTGAATTTAAAAGACAGGCTGTGACGTTATTTACTGTAGAATTAAATACCATGAGTAGGCACAAGCTGCATCTATTGCTTGCGTCTAGAGTAGCTGTCTGCCCTGTGTAGATTATCCCTTGGTATTTGGGATCTAAGTGTTTTGAGAAAAAATACTGTGCTGGGTCTGCAATTTTTACTTCTTTCTGATAGTGAAAGTTCATCAGTTGTGGTATCTGACTTGGTCCTGGGTTGAAGACAGAGTCAGGACGGCTGTCTGTTCCCAGTATAGCTTCAAAGGGTAATGCCAGTGATCAGGTGCTGAGTTGATGGGGACTGGGGGGGGAGTAAACTGTAAATAAGGAAAAGCCCTTTTGACCATACACCATCCTGGGAAAACTTGTTTTCACCCTTCAGCTACAGGCACTGGAGGTCCCTTGGGTTTGCTCTCTCCTGTTATAAGCAGCTGAAAGACCTGGGTATATTACTGCTGATTCTTCTGGTTTGGGGAACAAAACTTGTCTTGGAAATCTCTATTATTATTATCTTCCATTATCACATGGGCCTTCAGTTATTAAAAAGGAAAGGAGATTGGCACAGGTGTTCCTTATCTGGGTCAGTGAACTCCACAGTGTTTCTAAGCTGTGGCAGTATTTTCCTGGTTGTAGTGTCACTTCAGGAAGGTAGGAGCCAATACTGCACTCAGGGTGCTCCGAGGTTTTGGTTTAGCCCCCAAAATGGTGTGATCTGGATGGAGTTTACCATAGCCAGGTTTCATCACAGCAGCCTGATGCTGGCACAGGGATTGGAGGAGGAGCTATAGATATTGCTGTAAGTGCTGCAGCAGTGGGGCTGGCAGCTGTGGCTGCAGAGAGGCCACTATGTTCAAAATGGAATTTTGGGGAGGAGGCTGCAGGTGCAGGGGTCAAGAATTTGCCATCAGTTGTGCTGTCTCCTTGTGCTGGTGCTTGCTGACTTTGCTCTGTGGCACTTAAATCATGGAACTCTTAAGTGCTTTTACTGCAGAGGAACACAGAGCAGCCAAGAGGAGCACAGTCTGCAGCCACAGGCTTCTACATTTTTCATCCTTCTCAGTACAGATGTGTCAGTGCAAAGGGGGTGCTATAGGGTCTCTATCCATGCTCAGGTGAGGCTAAGCTATAGCCCACTGAATGCCAGGTTTTTTCATCCTTTACACAGAGGTCAAACTATGGGACCAAAGTCCCACTGAATACTTGCCTTCTCCAGGTGAATCCTAGAGGCTAGTTTTAAATTGTACAGCTGCACCTTAATTGAGGGCATTTTAGAAACAATGAGATTTATATTTTTCTTCCCTTTTAAAAAAATAATTTGTACACAAAATGTCAGCTCTGCTATGTTTGCCTTATCTGCCCAGTTGTGTATCTCACACTGAGAATTTGGTTTTGTTTACCTAACGCTGATCAGGTAAGACAGCTGTAACTCCTGGATTTTGAAATGGTTCTCACAAACCGAGATTTTGTAAGGCTGCTGTCTGTGGGAGTAATGAGGCATTTGAAATCCCTGTTTTGGGGAGGGAGCCCTGGGCCCGGTTGTCCTCAGGTGGTCACACGGGAGAACTGCAAGGAAAAAAATTCAGTACAGGCAACAGGTAAAGAGTGCAGCTGCAATGTGTTCAAACATCCCACCGACGACGTGGGGTTTTTGCAATTGGTTTCTTTACACTTTTCTGGTTACTTGACAAAAATGCTAGATTCTGTTGTTGCATATGAACTATTCAAAGGTGGGCAAGGCCCAAGTGTGAATTTTCACAGAATCACAGAATATCAGGAGTTGGAAGGGACCTCGAAAGATCATCCAGTCCAACAATTGACAATTTTGTCAAAGCTGTTTTCAGAAACAGTTCAGCTCCAGGTTCTGCTTTCACAGAATGACTAGAAGTTTGAGGAGAGCCCTAAGAAGATAATGTCTTCTGGTGTGTGTCATCTCAATGACTTCTTTGGTTGGTAAGAGCTGTATTTACTTCCTGTTGCATTCTGAGACTTAACAGAAATGGCAGTTGACAGCAGAGGGGTGTAGAGACCCTAAGGATAAAGTTAATGTGGGGGGGAAAAAAAGAAGTATTTTGTTTCAGTGCTTCACCTGAAGAGCTGATGAGACTGCATCTGGAATATTGCGTCCAGTTCTGGGCCCCTCAGTTCAAGAAGGACAGGGAACTGCTGGAGAGAGTCCAGCGCAGGGCTACAAAGATGATCAAGGGAGTGGAGCATCTCCCTTATGAGGAAAGGCTGAGGGAGCTGGGGCTCTTTAGTTTGCAGAAGAGGAGACTGAGGGGAGACCTCATTCATGTTTATAAATATATAAAGGGTGAGTGTCACGAGGATGGAGCCAGTCTCTTCTCGGTGACAAACAATGATAAGACAAGGGGTAACGGACACGAACTGGAACACAGGAGGTTCCACTTAAATTTGAGAAGAAACTTCTTCTCAGTGAGGGTGACAGAGCACTGGACCAGGCTGCCCAGAGAGGTTGTGGAGTCTCCTTCTCTGCAGACATTCAAAACCCGCCTGGACGCCTTCCTGTGTAACCTCATCTGGGTGTTCCTGCTCCGGCAGGGGGGTTGGACTGGATGATTGTTTGAGGTCCCTTCCAATCCCTAACGTTCTGTGATTCTGTGAAGAGCAGGTGCACGGTGTGGATCAGTCCCTGTAAAATTCAGATTTAGGCTTTTGCAAAAGGAGTGCATGGGTGCAGTGTGGCAAGTCACGCTGTACAGGCTCAAAAGACGTATAGATGAATACTGCCCATTAGATAAAGCACTCTGAGCTGGGAAACGCACCTGAGCTTTAAGCCAGGCCAAAGCAGAGGCAGACCTGAAATCCTACATGCTGAGCAAAAGGTGGTCTTTGAAAACGATGCAGGAACAGCAACTCTGTTAAATTCCTCTAAGTGGTGATGCTTGTAGGTCCTAGAGGTGACCGCAAAGCAACCATGCCCAAAGCTACTTCCGACACTGTCTGCTGGGAGAATTCCTTACTCCCAATTCTCAGGGACAGCACAAGTCTTGAATCCATCTTCATTTCTGAATGGTCTCTGTTCTGGCTGCAAGTTTTCCAGTAAGTATGTTGCTGCATTTGTTACTCCTCATTTTAAGTTCTTGGGATAAAAGATATTCACAACTGAATCTGCTATTGCTCTTTGCCCATTTTTCAACAACATAAGTAGCTGAAACTCAGGAAAAGGTAAAGAAGTGCCAAGCTTTGTTCTGCTCAGATATGACATACTGAAAATGTTGGAAAGGAGCTGTGACAGCATCTCCTGCACCCTCATGCTTACAGTCTCATCCAGGACTTCAGCCTGTATTCTCTCACCAGATGGATCTTTCATGTCCCCTCTTCTATTTAAGATACTAAACACCCATATTTTTTAGAGGTTCCGACATGTACTAACATACAACATGTTCTACAACAGAATAGGTTTTGGTATCAGCTATACATTTTACTAATGGTTCTTTGGTAATGGTACTTTAATGACTTTCTTGGTTTGTTCACCTCGGATCTGGCCATACTGCAGCTTATTTAGAAACCTTGGCACAGTGTTGCTGTACTCCAGTCTGGTCAGTAATGTGACTAAGCAAGAACTTTATGCTGTAGCAATGTACAAATAGATTAAAAACACAGGTGAAAGAGCTGAGAAAGGCCTGTGCACGTGTGTGCACACGTGCATCTGTTCCCAGGCCTTTTATGTTCTTGAGTGAAAAGCTGTTATGGACCCCCCCCCTCTCCTAGAACAGTAAATCCTGATACTCTTGCTGTAGTGAGATGAACATGTGCCACAGCGACTGGGAGGAAGTGGTACCCCGTCCGACCAACAAGTGGTTGATGCTGGTGTGCACCACCCTCATCAGCTGTGCTACTGTGGATAAGGTAAAAGCATGAGTTGGGAGGAACATGGAGAAATCACACATAGGAGAGATTTCACAACAGGACATGGAGCACGATCAGGTACTAACAGAGAACAGCCTCGAAGCTCAGCTAAGGACTTTGGAGACAGAAAGCAGAGCTTTAGAATCTTTAAATACATTTAGAATGCAAAATCTTCTAAGAAGCTTTACGAAAAAAATTAGTACTCAGATAATCGACTCAATTAAGGCAGGTGTTAAATTTGGAATTTCAAGGAAGAAAAATTAAGAAGCTGATTGACAGAGTGTTAAAAGCTTAAGTTGCGCTTTCTTAAGAGTCTGCCATCCTCTGGCATTTGTTCCTCTTTCAAAGGTTTTATTTTGCTTATCTTGCAAGCATCAGTCAATTCTCCATTGAGTTTGATTTCCATGACTTGTGCTAAAACTTCCTATTTGTGACAGTCTTACAGCTGGAAAACCTCGAGGGAAAAGTTCTGCTGGACTTGCTTCTCAGCAGGGCTGGAGGCAGCCACCACTGCTAGAAAAAAATCCCATTTTGTGGTGTGTTGTACTCAGCTCTCTGTAGATGCCCCCGAAGTGTGTACTGAAGGCTTGTTTTGGTCATGCTGCTGTCGACACACAGAGCTAACATGTTTTGCAGCTGTTGCGTGGCTGCTACCTTTTGAGCCAAAGACTGAGATCAGATTATTCTGAGATCCGATTTTCTGTTTTAGCTTGGTGGAAAATCCCCTCACTGATCTAGCAGTGAATCTGTTTCCTGAGGTAAATATTTCAGACCTTACGAGTATCACTTCTGCAGCACTTGTAACACGCTTGTAACTTGTGTGACCCTTACTTGTTTGATCTTGATTCATGCATGGTGGATAAGAGGATTGTCTTTCCTGCTGCATGTCTCTAACACCTTGTTCCAGTGAGGCTCTGATCCTTCTGAGGTTATTTGGTGCAATAGCAAGCAAGAATGAGCAGTTCTGAACGTGAAGTAGAGATTCACCCAGGCCCAATATTTTGACAGTAAGAATTAACAAGCCAGCTCAGCAGAAATCCTAAAGCTGAAGCTTACTTGTAGATGCATTTATTTACATTAAAAATAAATATGCACAGCCATAGTCTTTGCTTGCCCTTTATCTTCCTTTGCAGGACAAGGCAGATTTGCTGAGTGCCCCAGCTCTCTCTCAGCAGACTCAGCCACTGTCTTCACTCTTTGTCCCATGACAGACAGGAGAGCTGGGTACAGCTGCCACTGTGCACCCAGGGGGCTTGGTCTGATCCTACCTTGAAACGGGGAGAATGTATCCTACACAGACCTCTAGAACCAAGAGTGGCTGGAGAGAAGAGAAGGCAGGTAATCTAGTCCCCCAAAATGTAAACAGGTTTTTATTTAATGCCTTTCACTCATCACAAGGTACTTTTTTCCCCACCCAAAACCCCAAAACCAAGATGGCAGCATAAGGCACCGTGTAGACACATGCACAGTCCACATACCACCTATGTAAGATTTAAAAACACAGCTATAGTTCTTACCAACAGTACCATGTGTCCTTATTATTAATGTACACAACATGATTTTCCCCAGAGTTTGTTCTGGAGAAATAAACTATTAATTTAGAATGGTAAGACTTTCCCCACCCACCCCAAAAAAGCCAGATTAAAAACACAGGTACAGAGCTTAATACCAGAGTAATGAGATTAGTTCATAAATTAAAAAATACAAAAAAAAAAAAAAATCAACAGTCACTCTTCTATTCAGAAGGTCCCATGTGATGTGCTGTACTTTGCAGAGACTCCTTACTGTGTCCTCTTCCCCTTTCAAAAGCAAGAAAACTGACAGGTAGACCCAAGTCTTTTCGTGTTTGTCGATGATGGCAAAAGGCCATTACAGCTCTATGCATCCAGCTTAACCATGCAATTGCAGCATCCCCAGCGAGTTATCTGAAGGCTTTTCCTATGTCCACGGGAAGGAAGACTTGATACAATGTTCTTTGGCTGCAAGTTCTTAAAGGCTTCCACTGAAAGGGTTCTCCTTCAAAAAAAAGAAAAACTGCAGTTGCTGTGGGATTTTTTTTTTTTTAATAAGAAAATGTTGAGGAATAGGTGGAACCGATGTAACTGAGTGAAGCCCTCACACTGCTAAGATGTTGGGGTCTGCTACAAATATTCAAGTTCCAAGGCGTGCCGAAGAGCTTCCAGGTCAGCGTGACAAGAGATTCTCCAGAATGGCATGTTGTGCTAGAGTGAAACCAAAAGAGGGCATTTTTTGGTTTTTGTTTAATACCGAGACCACAACTTTCTTAGTTTGCACCCTCAGGAACAGAGCTTTGTACTCGGGCCACCAGGCTGTAACAGTGTCACAGGCAAGGAGGCTCAACTTGGAGAAGGAGGTGGCAGTGGGGGTGTCTGTTTGCTGTTACGTTTCTCCCATGCAGAGGAGGAGAGATCCTCCACAATTTGAGTGTCCTGCTTCAGAGCTGATGTAGGATGCAGACTGACTTTCTGTATGTACTAGCTACTCAACTTTACTCTCCTGGTTTTTTTTTTTCTTGGTTTAATTAAGAATGTTTCTAGTATTGCAGTACTCCTAGAAACAATCTTCTTGCCACTTAGTGATGTTCAGCTACTGTAACAAGCTCCACAAGACTCCTGGGCTCTCCAGAAAGCCTCATAATCTCATCCTGTAACACCAGTTTCAAAGTTGCCCTACTTACCACTGGTGAAAGCTGTTGTCAGTGCTTCACAGACACATAAACGATGCACATCATAAAATGAAGTTATTAAAATTTACAAAAATGTAAACAAAATAATGTATTACCACAGAGAGTCAAAATGCTTTCTAACAATTACTTTTCCAAGTTAACTGGAACATTAGGTCATGCTGCATTTTCTGGAAATGTAGGAACTGGTATAATGGTGTAACTGGTATAATCACTCACTCATTTAGTGTAACACTGCTGTCTTAGAGGAAGGGTTATACAACAGCTTGTCCTCAGGAAACTTTACTAATTTCCATTTTTGAGAGACTAGCTTATATACTTCTCCTGCCCCTCTGTTTTTCAATGCATATTTACTGTGATAAATCTGAAGTTACAAATGTCTGAGTTTTAACCAGTCAGTTCTACTTGAAATCTTAGCATCTAGACAAAATCTGGAAAGGCCAACTCTCTGTGACCCACTACATCTTCCTTATAATACCGTGATTAATCTCTTGAAAACTATGAATATACTCTAGGAAAAACCAGACTTGCATCTGAAAGATGAAAGAGGACCAAGTACTGACTTTTTAAAGTGCTGTGAAACAAGTGCAGTTCAATGATGCAGGGGACCCAAGATGGAAACTGTAATCTGGTAAAGTACAAACAGTGCTCTGAAAGCATCATCCTAACAATGTAGTTCTGCAATCATTAGCCATTGTGGTTGCTTTCAGAGATAACCTCAAAATAATCAGGGCTTTCTTTTAGATGTGAAATACAGCTTTTCGTGGCATGCTTTGGTGAGCCTGGGGCTTCAACTGGATTTCTTTCTTATCCGAAACATATAAAGCAGTTCTACTTTAGATCAGACACACTTGTTTCTGTACTTAGATTTTGTAACAACGTTGGGGCTTGTGATTTTCTCAGCGTCCTCCCAAAACACTGGTCCAAAATACTCTGGACAGTCAGTGATATGTATGCAGTAACAAACATACAGAAAGCTTTAACTGACAGAGCTTACTCCCTTTCCAGTGTGGGAATAAAATTTCTGAGTATTTTATCACTGTAAGTAACTAAACTGTAAACTTAGTGCTTCTGGATAAATAGCTTAGAGCTGTAGGGAACATACACATCCTAGATAGATGATTCTGATGAAGGCAGATGTTCCTTTTCCAAGTGTACACCTACCTGTGTAAAAAACTCCAGTGGTTCTAGACGTTTGTTTTACAGGATGTCTATTTACACACCTCTAACGTTTAAATACAACTCAAGCTTCCCCCTGCTATGTTGACTGTCAGTAATCAAATGTTTCCTTCAGGCTATTTATCAGTGTGTATAGAAACAGCAAGTAAACACAGACCGCTGAAGTGACAGGAATCCATTGCTCTGTAATTTCACTTTAAAGGGAAAAGTTATTTCCTTCTCTCTCCCCCTCCTCCGGTTATTATTAAACCCCTTCCATTAAATTATCTATTTTTCTTTCTTAAACGAGAAGAAAACTTGGCCTCCCAGCCACTCCTGTTGTTCAGCATTTACAGATTTATCACTCCTCAGATGGGTGAAGAAAAATGACCCACTAAAATGGAGATACTATCAGTGCTGTCAGCAAAACAGTGAAAGGCTCTGTGCCCCCCTGCAAACCCCCTCCTTTTTTTTGTCTAAAGCTCAGGTGTGCAGAAGTCCTGACTAATGATTGTCATCAATCACAGGAGGCAACAGCCCAGCAAAGAATGTGCTCTACTAATGGGAGAGCTGCTTAGGCCAGGAGATACAAGCAAGAGGGCTCTTGAAATCCTGCCTACAGAAGATTATTGAACCTTTCCACTCCTTCAGAGAGTCCCTGCAGCCTTTGATGCAGTCATGTTCACTGACCCACTACCTTTGAAGTACGGCACTGGACTGTCAAAAGCAGCAGGCTATTATCACCTCATCCCCAGTCATGCCTTTTGGACTCTTCTCTGACAACTCCTTAACCCTTCATGAGCTACAGAACCATCTGCAGATGCAAGTTTTCCAAGGTGGAGGCAGGTTGGGTGTCTGTAATACACTGATACCCCTGTATGTGGCAGAAGGTATTCCTTACTGGATCTCTAGCCAACCCCCAACCACTGTAAGCAGAATGCAAGCTTTGGTCTTCTCAAATTTTGCTGTGATTTCTTCCAAGCTCTGGGGTTCTGGCTGCCTCTTCTTACAGACTCCCCAAAGCAAAGCTTCAGCCAGTCCCTAAAACTCCAGTGCTCACTTCCCAGTCAGAGGACTGTGGATACTAATGACTGGAGGGCTCAGTGGGATGCCCAGGTCAGTCCATTCAATTCTTTCTAAGGCTGCCTATGTCAGTAGGCCACATCTATGCAGTGATTGAGGGCTTCTTGTTCCTGACGGTACTGCTTTTGCAGTTTCTGTTCTACTTTGTATTCAGTACATCTTCCAGTTTCATTTTGCTTGTGAAATTAATCACATTGATCCATAAATCACTGATAAAAGCAGCAGCTCAGTACTTGTCCCTTTGCTTTTCTCTCTAATGGCATTACACTCTACGATCACAATGAGTCATTAATATAAATACATGTATGTATATATGCATATTCTAAAAAGTAATTAAAAACTAATTCCAATAATTTGGAATTTACAAAAGTAACAGGTATAGATCATAAATTCATCCTGCTTGCTTAACTGAGATCACACATTGGAGTTTTCCTTTGCATGTGTTTAAAGCCATCCTTGTTAAGCCAGAACGATTCCTGGAACATGTGACACAGCGACTACCTGAAAAATGGCACCAGCTTTACAGGAGGAAATTTCTCTCAAGGTTGTTGTGTATTTTGCATATTAAAAAATGAGACCAATTGTTATCTGTTTCAAATGAAGGGAGCTTCATTAAATGCTTAATTAAATAAAGGGTCATTGAAATGAAAACTTGGAAAAATCCAGCATGGTATCCACAAACTGTACCTTTTTTGCTCCCTGTTCCTCTTCAACACCATCTCCTATTACAATGTACACGGCTTTCCTTCCAAACCTTTGCATTATTCTTTCAAAACAGCTCTCTTTCCCCAAGCAACAGAAGAGAAGACACATTTTTTAACCTGGACACATACAGCAGGTAGGTCTGACATTCACGTACTGGAAGTGGTGTTGAACTTGCTGCTACATTCCTCATTTTCTTTTGAAATCAGAACGTAACTGAATCTTCATCTGAGATGGATTCTCTCTATCTTATGACAGCTACCAGCATTTCCTTTATTAGCCAAGGACTTCCAAGTGCTGGCAGTTTTCCGTAAGCTTTGTGACTTTGATGCACTGCTTAGACCAGCAGTTGGTAAGACTGATGAAACTGAATGCCATGAATGTCACAAGAGCCCTCTTCTGTTTGTTCTGGTTGCAGTAAAAACAAACCTCAGAGGCTCAAACAATTATACAAGAAAGGACAGAACACAAAAAAGCCCCAAGCCAACCCTACCAGTACTTATTACTCATGCAACTTAACCCCTCTGCAAGAATAACAGGTCCCGAACTGCTTCTCCATGGAGTAGGTCCAACCAGACTCTCCTCCTAGCTGGGTGCAGCTGAGCATCCCACATGCAGCAGATGCTCCATAGGGTGGGGATTTTTCAGGTTCACTCACCCATGGAAACACTTGGAAGACTTTTTTTTTTTTCCCCCCAGTCTGTACTAACTAAAGTGTGGGCAGTCAGGATGTGAACTAGAGATGTGTAAGCATGGAGCTAAAAATAAAGCTCATATATTGCTTGTTGCGGTCAGGTTGAACGAATGTGCCTGACTTAGGGACAAAACTTCAACCTATCTTCAGCGAGGCCTAAGATAGTTTGCTCTTACCCGTTTTTGTTGCACTGTAAATGTTTTCAATGGGGAAGACAGTGCCCAGTCCATAGAGAAGCACTTTAGCAAGAGCTGGTATAAGCTGAGTTGTGGTGACCAACACATTCACACAGTTAGGCCTAGAAAATAAAAGTTAGTGAAAGTGGCAATCCGTGTTTCTTTCTTTTACTCTAGACTGAAAGATGGCAGGAAGCAAACCTTTCCTGCAACTGGGAGTTTCCAAGCCACAGGGAAATTACGCAGCTAGAGGCAGATAACATGAGTACTGGTAATATCTTTTTATCAGTTTAGTTGAATGAAAGAAACATGAAACAAACTAGCAGCAGAAATGCAGCCTGACATGCAGCATGCATGCCAGGAGCTATTTTGTGGGATTATAAACACATGTAGTAATGTCTGTGCTGGGTTTTTTGAGTGAACGTGTTCAGGGATAGAAGGGCCCTTTTGTCCCTACCCTTTGGTAAACCTGCTCACATGAAAAGTGTGCCACAGATAAAGTTGTCAAGAAAAGGCAAGAAAAAGGACTGATTTTTCTTTTGCTCAGTTCATCATCTCAAGCTCACCCCAACCTTTGACACCACAAATCTGGCAAACATGTGCAGACTGGCCTCCCGCAGGTTTGGCCAGCAAAGTCCTATAAATGTGTCTCGATTTGTTTAGAGGGGAAAAAATGGGAAGCAAAGGAGATCCTGGATCAAGCCTGCAGGCAATTTCTTAAGCTGTTCTTACCGGGAATGTATCAAATTCAGCGCCTTCAGAGCATGTGTGAGCCAGAGATCAGTCAGCGCTTCAAGTTCTGCTCTTAACTGCAGCCAGGTTTCCCTCTTAGGAGCTCCTATTAAACCTGTAAGCAGGGAAAGCATCTTAGCAGAAGCACAGAAAGCATGAGTTTGTATGTAGAAGCCAAAGGACTCCTGTCTGTGTTCTGAACCCAATCCCTCCCACTACCCTTCTCCTGGCCCTGGTGCAGGCTGCTTCCCTTTGCCCACTGCCATGTCACTCTAAGGCTCTGCCTTGAGGTACACGAGGCCTGACTGCAGCGCGCTCCTGTGCTACGGCCGCCCCGCTTCCTTCCTCTCCAGCGGAATGGTATCGGTAACCCGCACGCCGCAGGACCTCAGTAAAACGTCTTTGTTGGGGTTAGCATAAACCTGGCATGGGAAGTGAGCAAGAGGACAAAAGAGCTGTTTATAGTGCCTAGTGGCCTGAGCTGAAAGACATCTGAAGCTAGGATGGTTTTGTTTATCCTGAAAAGCTATGCACCATTACCAGTACAAGGGGGTAGACTATTCCTCCAACCAAAAAAAAAGATTGTGGTGATACTCTGAGTTTTGCTTCTTTCCCCTTCAAGTCAAAGACCTGGCACTGATATTCTAAGTGAGAAGCAAAGGAGCCTATTGGAAGAACTGTCTGGAACTAGCCAAGAGGAAGGAACCTGGAGCATCCTGGTATCTGGTGTATTGTTTTGTGGAATTTAAAAACAAGTAGTCAGGATACAAGAATGCCTTCAGAGATTAGCAATGAGTTCTGTAGAAAAAAAAGCAGCATATATAGTTTTGGACTGTTTGTTTTCTTACTAAGCATTCTGGAAAATCGGAAAAGGTTGATTTCCTGTCAAAGAAATTACACAATAAAGCCCCACTCTCAGACTTGAGTACTTCTCCAACTACTATACCTGGTATTTAAGCATACATTCTGCAAATCCTGTACAGAACCTTATTTAAGGACGACTGCCGAAACACTTGTTCAGCTTAGTGTAAAGTATACTTATCACTGTGCTTTCTACATCTCCTCCATAGATGTCCCTAGCAGGGTCAGAAATATTTGAGAATATGAAAGGCACGCTCGTTGCCTGGCCACAGACACTTACCCCCTACGTTGTTTTTGTAGGTGTTGTACATCTCTTTCACCCGACGGTAGCGGAATGCTAATTTCCTCATCCAGTCAACTCCCCCATGAACGCCTGAGCCCAGACACAGATTTGCACTGGCAGCTGAACTGTGAAAGCCATCTGCGGAGAAGTTGTATGTGCTGGGAAAGGGAGGAGGGAAGGGGAGAGGGAGAGGTCGATATAATTACAGTCCACACAGTGCCAGCAAGGAGTGCAAACAAGCAAAACGAAATGTGGAGACAAGTGGCAGCAGAGATGCAGGCAGGACACACTGTAGAGAACTAGAGCTCACCTCTAGCACAGTTACTAGAACAGATTTTAAAATGTCCTTACTGTAAACACAACACAGGTTACTTAGCACTCCCTGCCAATTCTGAGGTCCTCTGGACTACGAAACATCTGACTGCCCTCAAGTCACTGAAACTCCTCACCTGCCTCTCATGCAGGTTGCTAAGGTAACTGCAGATATACTCGGATCCTAAGGGAGAAAATTCCAGTGGTAACTTTCTGACTGCCTGACTGTATTGCTAAACAGGCTCTGAACACATAATAGATCAAGAAAAATAGTAGGAAATTAACTAAAGGAGCCTTAACTGCCTGCAACATGTAAAGTTTTTTGTGGGGTGCTTTTTTTTTCCTTTGACTGAGTTAATATTTTGAAGCAACTCTAGAGCTATTACCACAATGAACTGGGGCAAGTGACAGTTCCACAAACAGCTTAAACAGGCAGTTTCTCTGAAGAAGGCAATCCTGGCTTCTACCAGGCATTTGTTCCTGTCTTCAGCCCTTCTTGATATTCTTTTCTTTGTAACAGCACAACTGTTCCTTCTGCACTGAGATGAATCAGATCAGGGAACTGTTCCAGTTAAAAAATAATACAGCTTTAAAAAAAAAAAGAAGTTGCTTTTCAGCTGGATCAGTTCCCTGGGATGCAGGAGTGGAAAGCACACAAAGAGGCAGTACCAGCTTAAAAACATGTTTGACAGATGACAGCATCAGGGTGGGTTTCATGGTCTGAGAAGATCTCAGACTGAGCTGCGACGAAAGAGGGCAGCTCATAGGGCACAGTTGGCTGGATCAGGTCACAGACCCAGCAGTTTTGGACAAACTTGGCTTGAACTTGGCAAGGGAAGGGCCAGAAAGGCTCAGTGACACAAACCTACCCTTCTCAGCTGCAGCCTGAAGTTAGCTCAGCTCATAGTGCTTCTGACACCTCATTGAGAGAGCAGCCAGTGCTTGTATATTCACATCCTGATTTACTGCAGTAATTTCCCCTTCTAGAAAGTCCTGATGCCACTCTATTTCTGTATTCGAGCATCCAGATAGGAGTTTAGCATGCTCAACATAACTTCAGTCAGCTCAGCTTCATTTCCTACATAGACAAGCCAGAAGCAGCTGAGAAGTATTTTTGAAACAACCGAAACCATTCAGGCTGGGGCTTTTTACAGGATTCAAGATACACTGTTAGTATACGGCTTTTTTTGTTCACTTGAAGTAAATACACTGATTGAGATAAAACTCAGATCGATGTTTTAATCAATGCCTGAACAAGTATCCACAAGTATCATCTGCTTACAGGCACTGGAGCCTAAGGACCTAAACATACACATACAATTTCAGTGCATTGCAAAGCACAAACTGGCATTTCAGTTATAGTAAAAAACCTTTCAAGTGTTCTCTGCAGAAGGAAAAACCTCTTCCCTAAAGCACTTCCTTGTTTTCTGTGCTGTTTTGGCACAAATTTCTCATAAAAAACAGCAATAAAACCCACAAATTATAAAGCTCTAGATGAGCTCTGCACATTTCATTCTTGTGCCAACTACCATGACTTGGCAGGCAACACTTTGGGAAAAGTGGATGTAATTGTACAGAAATAGATTTTATGTACATGGTGGTCTAACTTACACAGATAACAATAACGTTTGGTGCAGGTTTGGTATACATTTCTACCAGTGACAAGGCTCTGGCATGACAAGGTGCACAATCCTCACTACTAAGCCCATTCATTACAGACTGGGCAGTGGGAAACCTTTCAATCTGGTTTTGAAGCATTTTTGCCACACCTGTGTCAAAAGGCTGGACAAATCATATCAGAAAGCAGTGCAGTCTGACTGGAGTTCAACCTAGTTTCAGATGTATTTCCCAGAATGGTTCAATACCCAGTATAGTCAGGGCTCAGCAGTATGCACAGGCATACTAAAGTGAGAAAGAAGGGGCTCTGTGCTTCGGTATGTGTAATAAATACAGACAGCACGGAGCCAAGGAGGGAGAGCGTGCATGGCTGAGAATGTTATTTTACATCACCGACCAGCCCCCTGCTGTTTTCAAACAGCTGGGGACTACCTGACCTGCAGCTTCCAGCCTGGAGATCCCGTACCTTAGATCTTGACCGTTATCATCTGATGATACATCATCTATGTGGATCTGGTCACAGTCCTGAGAAGTGGATGAAAAAAACCCAAAACAGTAGTAAGCAAATGCTTCGAAAACAATTTTGAATGAATGTGATGAAATATTACTTTAAGGGTAATAGTAAAGAGATAAAATCTTACATATTGCTAGTATTGTCTGGCATAGTCTAGCCAGTTCACTGTTAGCAACAAGTATCATCAGCACTTGCACAGAATATGAATACACAGTGTGTGTGTGTGTGTGATATGCTGTTATCTAAGGGCACAACAGCTCCTGAATAATGCAGTAAGTGAAACTCCTTCCTATGGAGACAGGAGGGAGAGAGATGCTTGTGTTTTAGCCAGGAAAACTGTGGTTTTCAAACTCTGTATGAATGATAAGGCAAGGATTTGGCAGCTTCTCCCCCTGTGAGAATACTGCTTTGGACAGGAGGTGTATGCACACATAATTACAAGGGGACAAGATCTGTCCCAAAGTAATTTTCAGAGACGCTTGTCCTGCTGGTGCTTTCCCAGTTTGTTTTGAGGGGGCTGAGCTTCCTTTGATGTGTGGGAAAGCTGGGCTGAAGCACTGAAGGCGGCACCTTTTCATAGCCCTGGCCACAGACAGAGTTAAGGAATAATGTGTCAGTAATGAGGAAATCTATGCACAGGAAATTTAACCAGAATATATTCTTGGAGCTCAGCCTGCATCAGTATGTACTCTAGATCTTATCTTCCAAAATTCTTCATTGGAGGCCCTGCCTCAAAAATCTGAGAAATGTTATTTCTTTGGTTTCCTTCCGAGTTTTAGCATTAAATTAGAAAGAGGAAAATTGGGAAGCTTCTCTCCCAGCCGTAAACCTCCTTTCTCCATGATTCTTGCAGGTAAGAACAAAACAAGAAGCCTCCAAGATGATGAACACTATCTTTTGTTCCAGTTGGTTTTTTAACAGAGGTAAAAGCACTTGGTACAACAGGACTCTGAATTCCAAACAGCTGCAGCTGTACCAAGGTACAGTTATTCTTCACCACTTCAGTATTCTGTAAACCACAGAATTTGTCTTACCTTCCTTAGATAATTACAGATTTTATGAACTCCTTTAAACTGGTCCCTTTCATAAAAAAAGAAAAGAATTCTTAAACGAGTAACCAAACTTGCTATCAATAGCAAAATGTCACAGATAGTTCTTGTCCATAATAATGAGATTTACTACAGCATTTATTTCAGATAATGCTCAAAAAGACACACAATTTTATCTTGTTCTTGTCTCATCAGTCCTCCTATCAACTTATCATTGGGGTGTATATTTCTGTATATAACTGGAGCCAAACAGCTGAAGAGCAGATCCCTGCTGGCACCTCTTTCTTTTCTCCACTCCCATCATTTTTTAAGCCCCCCTCCCAATAGGTGTTGTGGGCCATGCTGGGATAATATTGATGCAGCCCACTCCAGTTGTATGATGCAGGTCATTAAGTCAGGGGAAAGGTATTTGTGGAGGGATCTGTTTTTCTCATTTGTGAATGAATTGTTCTGTACACTGAAGTGTGACAACAGTAGCTATCACATTTCTAACTTAATAAAATACCATGACACTTGGTGAGACACTACCTCATAGTCCACCGGCTGAGCCTATCGTGTTACTGGGTGAAATACAGGAAAACTGGTTAAAGCAAGAATGTGGACCATGTTTTACTACTTGGTTATGAGACCAATTTTTCATTCTTGCAGAACTTCCTTGAAATCTAAGTGGGTAGGGAATCAAAGCAGGATATCTGGGCTGCTGAAAAGAAGGTCCAGATTGTTCAAATGGCAGCCTGCAATAGGGGCATATCCCAGTTTTCACATCTGCTGACTTTTAAAATTATACTCTAGGATCTCAGAGGTATATGATGTGTGGCATGTACAGTCTGTAACTGAGTCAAATGTGTAAGACCTCAATCAACCCTTGCAACTCTGGGAACTGAACTGTTTTTACTATTGTGGTATCTCTAGGTCAGTCTGTGCTACGCAGTCTGCCTCCAGGTGGGACCAGACCCTTGTACCCAGGTGTAAAGGAGCCTGAGCTAACGCAGTTTTGCAATGGTACGGCTTCAGCTGCCTCCTTGTGAAATACAAACTGTTCCTGAGGATGTGTGGAGAAGCTCCTTCTGTTACCACTTACACTCCCTCTGAATATTCTTAAGGTATGTCTCATGCACGTATGAAAACAACTTACAAACACACAAGTTGTATATTTGTGTACCAGGACTGTGTTAGAGATGTTTAAAAATCTTGTGGATTCATTGATCAGTCAAGCTTGCATCCCTCTTTAGGCGGGGGTGTTAACAGTTCTCCAAACACAAAACTTCCAGGGATGGCTCTGAAAGGCAGTAACTTGCAAACACACTAATCCTCTTGTTCGTTAATTCCTCAGCCCCTTGTCAGTCCCCCTGTCCTTAATACCTGTTTTCCAGAGTGCGAGACAATAATATCTCCAGAAGGATTGGGGGTGGAAAGTACTGTTCTTTAGCCAGCATTGCACTGTGAACAAAAGGCATCTGGAAGAAAAGGCACAATCCTGGAAAGCCCAGAGTTTGTGTTTTAACTTCACTGTGATCTGTAACGTGGGCAACTCCTTTTCTTCCCAGTTTCCCAAAAGGGAAACAGAGAATGAGAATACCTCAGTTCAAGTAAATATTTACTCAAATATTCTACAGTGTGATCAAAGCTCTTTGTACACAACACCCTGTATGGCCTATACTTGCAGACCCTAGGGATTTAAACTGCCTGTACTGTTGCAACTGCAAGCAGAGATGATGTGGTTGAAAGGCAACTAAGTGCTACATGAGTGGATGAATTAATGTGATAAAACTACACTTGTATGAGTCAAATGTGTGGCTCAGCAAACACAGGCCTTGCTTGTCTGGGTTATGTTGCTAGCAACCTGCAGAATGGGGCAATGCTTGTGTCACTGCATGTCCTGGAAATGCAACTCACTGGCTGCCCTTGTCAGTGTTTGGTGCCTTGATTCTTTGCTATGGGGCAGGCACACCACTAAGCTGTGCTTCAACAAGCATCGACCTCCCCTCCTGCCATGAATCGGCTGGAAAAAAGTCCAACCTCTAAGTTGTACAACTTCAAAGTTAACTTGCTGACATGAGTATCCCTTTCTGTAAAAAGACTTAAAGTGTTTGGTAGGAGCCTATGTCTAAGGCTTCTCCAGTCACCTATCCACCCTGGGGACCAGTGATCAGCCTCCTTCTATTCAGCTAGCCTGAAGTTTGAGGTGACTCAAATGGGAAACTGGTCTCTCTACTATGCTGCAGCACTAAAAGACAATGAGTTGAAGCAGGTTGGCTGAATGGATCTGCTGGTTTGCCTTTTCACATATCCAAGATTCCCACCCCGGAGCATAGCAGGAAAAATGCATCCAGAAAACAGCTGCCTGAATCGCTTCTGGGTAAACCCTGAAAACACATAAAACCTTAGCTAACAACAGTCTCAGAATGATTTTTGATATGAAAAAAAGGAGCATTCCAATTCAGGCTCCTCACTCAGACTTTGAAGCCAGTTTTTTGCTACTACGTGAAGCCACATCTTCACCAGACTAAGGAGGATCACACAAATGCTAGTTGGGGCTGTGCAAATCTTGCTGTATCTATGGACAAATAGATCTTCATCAACCACTTTCTGGGAATGCTTACACCCTGGCAGCACATTCTGCTCTGCACAGCACCGCAAATCGCAGCCACCAAAATAAACCATCCCCTGTGCTAAAGCAAGGTAGTAACTGATTTCCTTGTCCAACCTGCCTCTGTGGTGAGGATGGGCAATATTTCCTCCACTTCTCCCTCTGTCTCTGCCTGTTAGGACCAAGGTCAGCCATGCTCTAGTTGGTTCAGACTGTTGCTCCCTCCCAAATGCCTGAACTTCACTAAAATGGAATTGCGTCAGAAAAATGTTTTGCTATGTTCAGCGTTTTCTAGTAAGACTCCCGAATGAGGCAACTCTCCTACTGCTTTCTCAGTTAAGGTGCCTTTCACCCTGCCCCACCATAGAAGATGCTCAGGATTGGTTTCAGTCCTGTACAGTTTTAACTTACTTTGTCTTGTAGAGGCCAGTGTTATACCACATGATGGTGCTAATGTATATGGTAATGTTCGTGGGTCTAGAACTGAATCAGCTTGCTTTTTATTAATGTCTTTTTTACAAGAGTATCATACACTGCATTTTTCTTTAAGTCTAAGACTTAGTGAAGTACAATCCTTAAATATAACTTTGTGACTACTCAAACCTGACTTTCATCACCCTAAATGAAAATAGTAAGATGGTTAATGAACAGACATGGATGATCCTGGTTGTTGCAAATTCTTCCAGACTGAAACAGCTTTATTTGGAAAGTGAAATTTTGTAAAAAATACTCACTTCTCTTGAATTCTACCTCATCCCTCATTTTTTTTTTTTCAATCAAAAGTCTTATCAAAAACCTTGGTTTGGCTTTGGTTTGAAAAAAAAACTTGTTTCACTTATCAAGCATGTGTGAAAAGGGAAAACTGAAACTTTTCAGTAGCAAATGATCTACTTTCAGGTACCAGGGCCATGCAACATCATTTAGAATGCTTAGCATTTTTATCTTAGTGCTAGACCTAAGACAAAATTGTCTCACAATGCGATCTCTTTGCTTGTTTCTGCTCTGACTAGCGGGAACACTGATTGTTTTCAAAAGCTTTAAATGCTTTTCACACTTCTGAACCGTCCAGGTCCAGCAGCAAGTAGTTCTCATCTTTAGCTGCCTATGCTGTCCCTTTACACTCTCTGCTTTTAGCAGCCAAAGCTGTTACTGACTGATAAATGTGCAGAATTTGGCGGAAACCAAACAATTTGCTACTTAATTTCATGTTTTAGAGCAGTAAGTGAAGCAAGAAGAAAACTTGATTTGTCAACTTATGTTCTTGAAAAAGTCCAGATAGGCAGAGGGTTTCTGGAAGATGGCCTCCTGCAGGACACAGAGCTTTGTTGCAGCACATGTTGAGACCTGATGGCTGAAAAGTGCTGGTTGCATATTAAATACTATCACTACTTATATAGTATCCTGGATTCCCAAGCAGCAGCTCTCTACTTAGTTTGTTGTAGGTTTTGTTGTTTGGTTTTTTTTTCCTAAGACAAGGATTTTTTCACTTTGAGCTTTCTGTACTCTAAATCACCAACTCCCTCTTTGAAAAAAAGCTGAAAGAGGAAAAATCTGTCAGTTCAGGTGCTACCCACTACTTGTTTTGAAAGAAAATAACATTTCTCAGCAAGTGAAACCTCAGATCGTAAGGAGAGAGGTGGCAGGAAAGGATGTACCTCCTGTAATGCAGAGGACCCCAATGCAATTAAGCAGTGAAGAAGGAATGAGAAGTTCTCACTGAACTCATCAGGCACAGAAAAAGTTCCCTCATTTCATCTGGCAGAGAAACTAATTCTTCGTTTTTCAAGTGAAGAAAAAGACCATATAAGTCTGCTCAGGGATGCCAGATTTTTTCCAACAAAGACCTCTAAGCGCTACTCTGATCTTACTCACTTTGTATGTGACTCATTCAGATGATTTCTACTGATTGCAAATGCAAACAACTTTTCAACTTTTCACCAGCATAGTACAGCTGTTGACAGAACTATGCTAGCATCACTTCGCTTGAATTTTACCACATATCTGAAAGGATTTTTGCTTTGTATAAGGCATGATCAGATCTAATCACAGCACAAACAGGAAGGATTTTTCCTCTTGGTCGTTCATTTATGTTGAAGCTCCCATAGTTTCATCCTGCAGTTGCCTGTGTTTGAGCAGACCTCCTGCTCTGTCTCTGCGTCCAAACAGAGCTTCCTCAAGAACAGAGACCATTTTTAAGACCTCTGATTTGGCTCACAGCTAATAGCTACCTGCCCTATAGGATCTATGCTAATTTAGCTTAATGAAATTATTAAATAGCAAATTTCAGGAGAAACAGCAGCAATGTCCTCATTATTAGATTTCGTAAAACTGCCAAAAGCCATCATTGTTACAGTGTATTTAGAAGAAAATTCCTTAACAGAATGAAGATGTCAAGGGGACACAGTAAAGTATGCTTCCAATAAGCCATCTAAGGCCCATTTCTTTGGGGTCAAAAATGAAAGTTTCTTGGTCAGAAAAACAAGTTTGTAGACCAGATGCAAATGATTAGAAAGACAGATGTTAAATAAAATAAGCAGCTACATACCTCCAGGTCATTAAAGAACAGATGTGTATCTGCAAGGTTGAAGATCATTTCTTCCATCATAAGACCTATTCTCACAGACGTTGTAGTGTCCTGTTAGGGGAAAATCAGGTTTTTCCAATCACTTTGATTTAATTTTTCTTTTTTTTTTTTCTTTTTTAGGGGGGGTGGGGGGCAGTGGGAGTTTTTAAAGCAAACACAGGATTTACACATTCCTCTTTCTGAAGATATGTTCATTACAGTAATTTTATTTCCCAACTGTATCTTTACATTTTTCCCGTCCTTTCTTTTGCTCTCCTAGATAATCAAATTCTGTTCTTTGAAGGATGTCTATGGCTTGCCTTGACCAATAATAGCCCACACACTTCAGATGATATAACAAGAACCTTTAGACATCTGAGACTATATAAGAATTGCTTCACTAGGTTAGACCAAGAATTGATCTCCAATAGCATCATTAGTGAACAGTTATGTTCACAAGTACAAAGCAACAGAGGGCACAGAGGGTGATCCTTTCCCAACTCCACTCTTCAAACTAGCTGTAGGTCAGCATTATCCTCTTCTAATGTCAAACAGCAACTTGGCGAGCAAAATCTGAAAACAGAATCCCGGAGCTCAAGCATAAATTTGGTCTCTTTCTCTAAAGGGCGCAATCCATGTGTCTCAGCGTGCGTGGCTTAGGTCTGTTCTGCCATGCTAACTCAGCTAAGCAGCACAGGACAGGACAGAAAGGTCCTTCCCACATCAGCGCCCAGTGTGTGACACAGTAGCTGCTGTCCTCGGCAGGGGCAGGAGATGCAAGAACAGCCATGCTACTGCAAAGCTCTCCCATCCTCACTGAAGCTGCCTACTTATTTAGCAGCATCAGCAGAGTTAAAACAATCCCACTATGCAAACCCAATTACAGCACGATATAACGCTTGTCCAAATATGACTATTCCTGCTCATAACAGAGTGTGCTCTGCAGTGGTATAAAGCATGCTTGCAGAGTCAGAACTGTAGCCATAATGGCAGTTACACTCAACTGCATCAACTAAAAAAAAAAAAAAAGACAAGACAAGACACAGCACATTAAAATGCTGGATGAGTTCATCTGTGATTGTAGCTTGTGTTAGAAATTGAGAAAATGCACCTGACGCTCCTCTCTGCATGGGCTGGCTGTGCCGGTTTGCTCATTTTGCCATTTTCTTGTATCAACAGCCCCTGCCTAGCCGTGTGTGGGTCTAGCTTGGCCCTTCCCCATGAGGGTCCCAAACTAACATGATGCAGAAGCTCTGGCTGCCTGCAGCATTTTTAAAGCACTTTTTTTAACGATTAAGAGAATGTGAAAATGCATATGCCAGCAGCTCTGAAATGGCTTCTATACGCTTTTAAGCATGTGTGAACTTTCTCACATCCAGATCCTACTCCTACCAACATGAGTAGCAAAACCTTAAGTAAATTCCCCTGGAGAAGGACTATGCTACCTGCAGCTCTGGTGCATTTAGTTGATTTGTTTTAGAAAATTAATGTTTTTCCCTGGCCCTTGCTACCCAGCCAAGACACTGCAACTGCCTGTGAGAGGGCTGTCACTTCACTTCCTTGCCAAGTCAGCAAGCGCAAACTTAAATCAGCCTGAGCCAATGGGGCTGACTCTGCTTGCCCAGAGAAGCCACCCACAGACAACCCTGCATGTCAGAAGTGACTGACACTTTTGGCTGGTCCATTTTCCTTTCTTCTGGCTTGGAGAGCAACATTAACAGCTGACTGCACCGCACAGCAGATCTACGTGGTCCTCCAGGCTGTCCCCTGGATGTGGGATGGTGGCTGCAGGCTCCTGCAGCTCTTAGCTTGCTGCTTCCAAGCTGCCCAGCGGGCACTGGGCGCAGCCTCTGCAGATCTGTTACCCTGAAACACAATCTGCTGTACTCAGCCTGCGCACTGCAATATTAGATGAGTCTCAGCCACTTTTCCATGTCTCTCAGGCACAAAGTCAACCACCTCTCCTGTCTTCAAACAACTGACCTTGTGCCTAAACCATAGAAATGTGCAAAACCATAGAAATGCACTGATGCAAACAAGGTTGCCTGCAGAACATTTTCTTAATCATTAAATACTTCAAAACCAAAAGCAAAAATAATCTGTGGTTAATTTGATAAACACTCATAGCTTTAAAGCATTGTGCCTGTTCAAACTAAACAACAGACAAGTTGGAAAAAAAAAAGCATTCCCACATTAGCCTTTTTTTTGTAATTCATCTTCATTAGGACAGGGATCTCTCATCTTTATATTTATGTGGGTGGTTTTCCTCCACTAAAGTTACAAGCCCTGCTAAACCAGGGCAGATTTATATGTAGTCTTTGTTCTAATTTTCTGCAGATTTCAGTGGAGTCATGTTATTGTATGACAGGACAGTAATGAATTAGTTGAGGAACTCTAACAGGGAGCACAATGTTTGGAGGATGAGTACATTTCAATCAACCTTTGCGGCAGATGCTGTTGACATGGATGGTGTATTACACAGTAACCTAATTATTACGCATTCTTGGTGTAGTTCTCGTTAATTAGAGCAGAATGGCTGTGGTTTCAGCCATGTGTGTGACTCACAAGCATTGTGCCCATCTAAAGAAAATCTCTGTCACTCATGCTTAAACATGCTTGTTGCTGTCCCAGAAAGAAGGGCACTTTCTCCTCTGGGCAAAAACTAAACTTCAACAGACTTGCCTTGAACAAGTCTCTAATTATAAGCCCCAAAGCTGCTCCCCTGACAGGGCACGGGGACACAGGCATAATCAGGGCATCTGGCTGTGACCCCATGCAAAGAGCACTGAATCAAATTTTACTACCCAGGTGTAGTTACACTGGGGAACTGTTTTGAAGAAAATATGCTGCTAGGAAGAAATTATTTTGTAAAATAGTTTTTAATGAAGCAATTTATTTTTATATATTTCAAGGATCATTAGCCTTTAAAACTCTTCAGGAAATCTCATTGGTTGGTATCTGTCATTTATCCTCTAAGTTCTGTCTTTAGTTTTATTGGTATTAATCACTATTGGGGAGTAGGAAACATTTTCACAATGTATGAAGTTACCTTTTCTTAAACTAAACAATATGGAAATTAAACTGCAGATGAGAGGGATTTTTTTTTTTAAATAGATCTTTCTCTTGACGTAAAGAATATGATGGAATGAAAATAAAACAGAAAAATGCATTTTACCACCCAGAGGGGAAGTCGCTTGGGGAAATGATTTGGCATCACTCCTTTCATAGTATGGACATTTCCTCTATAGCAAGGCATGCTTCCAAGTCTTAAAGAGGCTGATAATGTTAAAAGGGAAATCAGCACTCCCAGTATGATAGAGGTGTCTGGAGGCACTAGGCCAGGGTTCCACAGGCAGTTATGTGTTTGCATTACTGTAACATCTAGAAGCGCTAGTCCCAGACTTGAACCCCACTGTGCTAGAGGTTGTACCCACACAGGGAAAGACAGTCACTACAGCTTTCAATTGGAGTATGAATAAACAGAAAAATCAGACTGACAGGAAAGCACCAAAATGAGGTAAGTATATCAATCAACATGTCCAAATTCTCTTTACAATGTGTAAATAATCTGAAAGAAAATTATGAAATTTAACTGAAGATGCTGACAGAGAGCTCTTCCTAGGCACACAAATCCTGTACCACTAAAGGATATCTCTGCACAGCAGGGGATGTCCTGGTAGACTGCTAATGTCTACATTAGAGTGGAGTGAGTTCAGCAGAGCAACATGAAGTTGCTGCACTCACACCGATGATCCCTGCTAACACGTCCTTCCATAAGAAAAGTGCACCCCGGAGCCCTGGAACAAGCTTCCTGGGTAACAGATCTAGCCAATGTTTTCTGATGCCTATGAAGCCCAAGGAAGAACGGACCAGAGACAGCATGAAATCAAATCTCCTCTAGGAACCACTTTTTACAGTGAAAACTGATTAATCTAAAAACTCAGCCCTGAGTGCTTGTTTAGTAACTTTAGAAGAACGAGGTCCTATGTCTCTGCTAATCTACGAGTCATGCTTTCACAGACAAGGACAATGAGATGCAGGGGTAAAAAACAGGCAATAAACTCCTTTCGTAAATAAAAACTCCAGCACCACAGTGTATCCCTGTATGCCTCACCTCTGCCATGCACCATTGCTAGAGCTTCCTTCAGGGTCAAAATTAAACAGTCCCACAAATTACTTTTAGTGCTAACCTCTGGTGCTCAGACAGGACAGACCAGGCACTCCTGATCCTCCAACACACAGCTTTGACAGGCTTCCTCCCATTGGCTGGGGGAAATAAGCACGAGGGGAGCAGTGGTCATTTTGAAATATTCATTCTTGAAGAGATTGCTATTCCCCTCCCGAACACACCCTTTACTCCCACTTTTAACAAACAAACAGGAGTAGTAGTTTCACAGCTGCCCATTTCTGCTTAGCACATGTCTTGTGGGAACCGAAAGGTAAAAAGCCCCCATTCCCTACAACAGAGGACAAAAGCATACAAAGATAAGCCCCTTTTCAAACATTTTGGTTCACAAATGTTTGCTCTAAAGAGCATCCTTGGATTTGTCTCTCTGCTGTTTCTGTCACAGCTATGACTTTCAGTTAAGGACTGATGGGCTATTGCCCACTGCTGACAACAGCCACACCTTGTGAGCAAGATAGTTTCCATTCTCAGTGAGGCACCGCTGACTCCCAGCTCCCTATCTGCTTGTTTTGGGGTAATTTGCTGCCTGTTCAGCAGACAGTTCTAACTAGAGGAAAACATGGGCAACAGAAGCCTGTGGAACATGCTGCAGAGGAAGACAAAAGTGTCCATTCACCAAGGGGAACATTTTCTTTCATATACCAATGGCATGAGCTGACACAAAGGGAACGTAGAATGTGTAAGCATACCCAAATCAGCTTTAAGCTACCGAATGTGGGTACAAATAGCTGCAATTATGTTGCAGCATGCACTGTGTAGGTCCTAGACTCTTTCTCAGGAGCCTGCATTTCTGCATCTTCACTGCTAACGGTATTGGCATTGCCTACACAAAAGTTCATGTGCATTGCAGCCACACTTCAAACTGCACTGTCAGCATCCTCCCAAA